GCCACATTGGACCCAAAGACTCCATTGTTGCTTTGATCCCAGCTCTGCATCTGAAATGATACATATTTTTTTCCCTCGTGACAACATGTGAGCGTAAGTTTTTGAGGAAAAAACCCAATAATCTGTATATTCTCCTTCAAAAAAGGGCAAAAACAACTGGAAGAATGTTGCGATTTTCATCTTGGACAACTATCAATAGTAAAACTTGCTTGTACTTTCCATACAAGAATGTCTCATCAATTTGGACCATGGCTTGTAGTATTTCACAACATTAATACACTATAGGTAATCCTAAAGAAGCTGGTAAAATTGGCATCGATCGCGAAGCATTTGATCATTGTGGCATGCATGACAAATTTCGAAGTCGACAATTATCTCAGGATTCAATCTACGCACTACACTAAACAAACTTGGTAGTTCGTTGCAAGATGCATCCCACTCGATGTGAAGTTTTTTTATGACGTTTTGTTTTACCTTCCATGATTTCCTGTATGAGATGGTGTACCCATATTGCGACTGTATAACTGAAATCAACACCACAATAGCTATATAGGAGTTTTCTTTGACCATGGGCATGATGGCTTGGTAGATAATGTCGGAGTCCAAGTTGGGATAATCCTGGTTGATCCCTTCAGCACAATATGTGTGAGAACCGTTGTATACTGTTAGTCCTCATATATTATTTTCCTCTTCCTCTTCGATACATGAACCATCTAGTTGCATCCACTGTCACGTTGGACATAGTGGCAGACATACTTTTAGGTGGTGGAGCGGTTGACTCTAGACTGAACATGATTACGAATGTTGTAATTCTTAATTGCCATCATCGCTTATTCTTTAGATGGAAACTCTATTTCTTTATATAACTCACCATCATTACTCATGAATTAAACCCTAAACCCTAAACCAATAACTTTAAAATTAAATGAAACTAAAAATAAAGCACATGATGATTGAATAAAGTAGAAAATGAAACCTTGTAAATTAAATTTAAGGGCGACAGGTAAAGTAACAGAGAAAAAATGGCTAAGGTTTTTAAGGAGGGACCTTGTGTTTTTTTAGGAGAATCATGTGCATAGGGGGAAAATTCCAGTTTCCACACCTCTGGTCAAATAATCAGTGATCTTGAACAGCATATCGTAACATCAACGGTTCCTTTAGGAGCAATCCCTATGTCAGTTAACACGGTGACGACAATGTGGTTCCTCCAGTAGGGGATTCTCCCCATCTTAAGCCTGCTCCACTACGGCAGAGACGGTGGCTTGGCTAGATCATTCTCATTCACAACCTCAAACCCTGTCTTTTTAGCAATCTCAGGAATATCCGAGTAGCTTCTCAGACCAGGCAAAGCGTCGCCTCTTTCGATACCTTGAATGACCTGAGCATGCTCGGGGTTATCGACTATGTACTTGTCCTTTGTAACCCACTCGTAAGACACGAAAAGAGATCCCGATTTCAACACTCAGAAGACCTCGCCGTTCACTTGTTCTTATTTCGACGCTATCTTGAAATGACATATATAGGAAGTTCCCGCAAACAACTTCGTAAAATGAATCCAGTCTGACTTTTTTGTTGTGCATTGGGGCACGGTTGACTTGGTAATTGTTGATTGTGATTCCCACGACATTGGCTCGCGAGTGAGCCACGATGGCACGTATGGGTTCGCCAACGCCGCATCTAACGTTGATGATTCGGTACCTGGGTCTAACGTCCATGAGATCGACGACCATCTCTTCGAGAGGCGTGTCGCGCCACAGTGGAATTTCTCGGCAATGAAAGGTGAGAAATAGAAGGATTGAACCCACCCCCATTTGTATATATCGGTGACTAGGTTATAAAAAGTATCGATGAAGTCTGGGACCTTATCGGCGGTTTCGATCTCTTTCGGGCGGCGGAAGAAAGACCAGTATCTTTGAAATTAAAGAGAATTTTGTCGACATGCGGAAAGAGTATTTGACGGTAATGAAACAAGCTAAGCGCGCGGTGAGAGATTGTTGATCATAATCATATGATACTATCACAAGAGAAGGAAGACCGATGTAGTCGGATGTTAATGCATGTTCAGATTTGTTTTCTCTTCCTCGTGTTTTTTTAATATATGGAAGGTATGTGTATTATTTTGAAATTTTATATTTTTATGAAATTAAATTTTTATATAGGCTTAAATATGAAAAAGGTACTCAATGTATGCTTTTGATTCTAGTTTGGTGTTTAATTTTTTTTTTTAATTTGGTGTATAATATTTCATTCTGTAATTCAATTTGGGTTTGACCGTGACACACCATTAATTTCTGCCATTAACCTTTTAAAAATGCCATGTGGCATGTTTTTAATATTAAAAAAAAATGATTTTTCCTCTCATCTTCACTCTGTTTCTTCTCTTCCCTCTCATCTTCACTCCGTTTCTTCTCTTCCCTCTCATCTTCTTATCTTCCCCCAAACTAAAACAAAAAAATGATTTTCTCTTCCATCTTCCTTCTGTTTCTCCTCTTCACTTTCATATTTCCATCTTCCTCAAATCAAAACAAAGGTGATTGAAATGAAATTTAAAGTATGAATCAAGAAATTAGAATTTACAGTTAATACATTGAATATGACCTTTAAAAATCTTTCAGTGCAACGCATCAAATAATGGTGATCTTAAGAAATAATTATTTGAAAGAAAAAAACAGAATTACATGTTTGGGGTTGGAGAAAAGTTAAAAGCTAAATATTATTTAATTGTTAATTATATACATCTTAGAAAATACAGTTGTCAAACAACAGAATTTGCAGAGACCAGCAGCGCCTAACACGAGATCTCTCCAATCTGATTATTACTTATTTATTTTCTGTAAAATTTATTACTAAAAATTGCTTGGTAATTTATTTATTTTACGTTATTTATACAGCAAATGAGTGTTAAAACTCCATAGGCTTAAAACATTGTATGTGCCCAAATTATACAATACATTCATTTTTTATTTTAAATAATCTTCTATTAAAAACAAGCGTTTAATGTTTTTAACATTATATTTTTAAATGTTTAAATCGTAACGGAAGTTAAATTTAATCATTATATAATATGTGTCACACATCTAAAATTTAAATATATATATATTTAAAAAGACACACTTTTAAGTGACTAAATTATACCTCAAATTAACATTTAGTGCCTATTAAAAACAAGTGTCTAATGTAGCTTTTTCGTCCGGAATTAAATGAGATAATTTAATTTTAAATTTCAACCATTTTATTTCATTTAAATCTTTTTAACGTTAAATGTAAGTTTGTGATAAATAAATTTAGTTTGCTAATTAGATTAAATAATTAAAAAATAATATAAATATTTCTTGACAAGGTCACTGTTACAACAAATCAAACCATTATATTATATTAATATAAATATATCTTGACAGGCTCACTATTACAACTGGTTATTTAAAAATAGGTGTTGTTTATATGTTTCGGTCTTGTTTGTAGTACAAGTTTTTTATTTTCTTGATGATGGATTATTATTGGATTCTCAAATTGGTTCTCTCACTTGACAGGGGTTCACAACCATTAGGAATATCATGTTTGAGTTATGATAAAATTAAGTGTTAATGTACAATTATATTATATTTTTATGTTCATATTAATAGTGTCTGTCCTTCATTATTTTGGTAATGTTATATTTTTAAATTTTTTAATAATTTTTTAATCATTCCCTTTTTTTGAGCTTACATCCCATTGTATGGGAAAGCCTATATTTACTCCTATCTCACTTAATTTAAAATTATATATATATATATACACACACCATGTAAAACTCTCTAGTTTTACACAGATTTAGGACCGTTGGATGAGTGAAAATAGATGATTGAGATTGACTTATTATTATTTTTTTCTATTGAATATTTTCTCTTTTCATTTCCTATTTAGTGGAAAAAATAAAAAGTCAATCTCAACTATTTATTTTCACTCATTCAACTGTTCTAAATCTGTACAAAACTAAAAGAGTTTTATATTGGGTAACATGATTTTATCTCATATATATATATATATATATATATATATATATCTCGGTGAATGGAGAGTATGATTGTAGCTTCATAAAATTTAACAGTTATTAACCACCTATAATTATCCTATATTAATAAAAAAAAAATTCTTAACTTTAAGCATCTTTTATCGACTTTTTGATCGGAGGTTCATCTATAGCCCGATTGAGTTGATTTTTGATAATAATAAAAAGATTTGAGTTATATCACTCTAATTTGAATTGATCTAAAAATAATATATATATATATATATATTGAAAATGTCACATTTACATATCATAGTCCAACATTTTAATATATTTACTAAAGCAATATATGAATTTCTCAATTTTTCCCCTTTCCTTTAACATACTAAATTAAATCTAACTATTTTCTGAAAATAATTTGTATATAATTACTCCCACCAATCCAATCCGCCCTGTCAAGAGTTCATATCTTACTTCTTCTAAGCTTAATTTATCACATAAATGGTGATTGATTAATTTGACTTCCGTGTGTTTTTGTGGACAGAATCTTTAAAGCAAGGTCTTTTCGGAACTTCGCCTTGCAAAGCTCCTCTCTCGAGAGCAACAGAATCCAACTACAACTCAATTCCATCCTTTCAATGGGATAGTTAAATGTCATAACCCACACATTCTTTAATTGCAGCCACCTGTACCTTAACACAGTTTCTCGGCATAAAATAAATTATTTTTTAAAAACATAATTAACAAGAGATTAATAATAAGATCAACTAAAAAAAGATTGATAAAATCCGTCAACTTCTCGTTTTCAATTTGGCCGCCGGTTGTCGCCGTTGGCTATGGTCGGAGAAGAATGACCGGATCGCGGGTTATTGTTCCTCCGGTTATATCCGATGCGGAGGGAACAACAACATCAGCCACGAAGAACATAGATTATTAGAATTTAGACATTGTTATTTTACAATTATCAACGTAATCATCAAACTGCTTTTCGAAATCGTTTGGATTTGATTCGATGTCGGACCAGAATGTCCTGGAGTCCGTTGAATGTCTGCATGGTGATCTTGAGTTGAAAATCATCGAAGCTCGAGGCTTGCCGACCATGGATTTACTGTCGGACCGTCTTCGACGATGCTTTACGTCATTCGACCCTTTTAGTAAACGAAAGAAGAATATTCACCCCCGGAAGATAGTCACCAGCGACCCTTACGTAACGGCTTGCCTAGCCGGTGCCACGGTGGCACGTACGCGCGTGATTTCGAACTCTCAACATCCCGTTTGGAACGAGCGATTCAAAATCCCCCTGGCTCACCCAGCTAACCAGTTCGAGTTTTACATCAAGGATAACGTCGTGTTCGGCGCTGATTTGATAGGAGTGACCACCGTGCCCGCAGCTGATATCCTCCCCGGCGAAATGATTAGCGGTTGGTTTCCTATAATAAGCTCTTACGGGAGACCGCCAAAATCCGACTGCGCCCTTCACCTGGAATTGAAATTCACCAAATGCGAGGAAATGCCACTTTTCAAATATGGAAACGCGGCAAACCCGAACGAATACGGGATCGCAAACTGTTATTTCCCCGCCCGGCACGGAGGTTCAATTACTTTGTACCAAGACGCGCACGTTATGCCATCAATGTTGCCGGAGATTGAGCTGGAGAACGGGACCGTTTTCAAGCACGAACCGTGTTGGGAAGACATTTGCCATGCAATTTTAGAAGCGCATCACATGGTTTACATCACGGGATGGTCCGTTTTTCACGAGGTGAAGCTTGTAAGAGAGCAGATGAGGCCGTTGCCTAAAGGTGGGGATTTGAGACTGGGGGATTTGCTTAAATACAAATCGGAAGAAGGGGTTAAAGTTCTGGTGTTGGTTTGGGACGACAAGACTTCCCATAGCAAGTTCTTCATCAACACCGTACGGATTATCAGCAACAATTTTATCATTTAATTATCTGCTGCCTTCTTGTTCAAATTTCATTGTATTTTTTTAACAAGGAAAAGTGTTTGAATGCAGGCGGGAGTGATGCAAACACATGATGAAGAAACACGGAGGTTCTTCAAGCACTCTTCTGTTACATGTGTGCTGTCCCCTCGATATGCCAGCAGTAAGCTTAGCATTTTCAAGCAACAGGCATGCTTTATGCTTCGTTCCAATTCTTATTTTCACATTTTCCCATCTAGTTAACAGTGAACTAACTCTTTTCCAGAGAGAAAAAACTTACTTTAGTGTGGCATGCAATCCAGGTTGTTGGAACCTTCTTTACACACCATCAGAAATGTGTAATCGTGGATTCATTGGCATCTGGAAATAATCGAAAGATCACTGCTTTTTTAGGAGGTCTGGACCTGTGTGATGGGCGTTATGATACACCCGAACATCGACTGTTTCGGGGCCTTAATACGGTGTTCAGAGAGGATTTTCACAACCCCACATTTTCTGTGAGTATTTCATTTTTAGGAGCTTGACTGAAATTGGGTTTGTGTTAGTCATATGTACTAGGACCTCCTCTTGTAGTACATATGATCTTCAATTACTTTAAAGAATCTTGACATCAGTTGCTCTTGCTGATTCTTTGTTTCTCTTTTAATTGTTAGGCAGGAATTAAATGCCCAAGAGAACCATGGCATGATTTACATTGTAAGGTTGAAGGACCTGCTGCTTATGATGTCCTTAAGAACTTTGAGCAGCGTTGGAGGAAAGCTAAAAAATGGGCTGAGATCGGACGACGATTGAAAAGGGGTAGCAAGAATGAAGATTCTTTATTGAAGTTGGATCGAATTTCTTGGATACTAAGTCCTTCTGAGGGAATCTCACAGGACGATCCTTCATTGTGGGTTTGCAGTGAAGGAGATCCGGAGAATTGGAACGTCCAGGTACAACTTACCACATGCCTCTTGAAGCAAACTACTTCCATTTCATCTAACCTTTTCCTGGATCTTTAAACCGGCAGGTTTTCCGGTCTATAGATTCAGGATCTGTGAAAGGGTTCCCTAAGGATGTTTATCAAGCAGATGCTGAGGTATTAATTCCTGTTTGAGTTACTATAATAGACAGTTAACTTTTCATTTTTCTACAACGTGCACGGTTTGATTCCTTCCTGTTACTGCAGAATCTTGTTTGTGCAAAAAATCTGGTTATAGACAAGAGCATTCAAACAGCATACATCCAGGCAATTCGATCCGCTCAACACTTCATATACATTGAGAACCAGTATTTCATTGGATCATCATACGCTTGGCCGGCTTACAAAGCAGGTTTCAGTTACCTCTATCTTCTTCTTTTTGCATACTTTTCACACTCAAGCGTTTCATTCTGTTCGTCATAAGTAGATAATTTGTTGTGAATCGAGAAACTGGTTCAAATTATCATGAACATTCGTGTTAGGATGTCCCTACTTCAACATCTATGCAAGAATTTCTTTTTTTTGGTCTCAGATTCTGAGATGATAATCTTTTTTTTGGTACTGTTAGGTGCTGATAATTTGATTCCCATGGAATTGGCATTGAAGATTGCTAGTAAGATAAGGGCAAAAGAGAGATTTGCAGTTTATGTTGTGGTGCCAATGTGGCCTGAGGGTGTCCCTACTTCAACATCTGTGCAAGAAATTCTCTTTTGGCAGGTCTTTTTCTTTTTTTTTATTCAAGTAATGATAGATGATTGATTTGCAAGGGGATTTCTAGTCGCATTATATTATATCTTAGCTTAGAAATGCTGATATTTCAGGGTCAGACATTTAAAATGATGTATGGAATCGTAGGAAAAGAGTTGAAATCTATGGAAATGGAGGATTCTCATCCACAAGACTACCTAAACTTCTACTGCCTCGGTAATCGAGAAGAACTTCCCTCGGACTACTCTTGGTCACGTTCATGCTTGTTATCGCCTACTGGTGACACGGTAATCAAACAAGTTCTGCAGTGTATTAGAACTCGATTTGAATCGACTTCCATACGGAGCTGAGAATGTTGAGTTGCATCATTATTTTCAGATTTCAACTTCACTACGGTTCCAACGGTTTATGATTTATGTACACGCAAAGGGAATGATAGTAGATGACGAGTATGTGATATTGGGGTCTGCCAATATCAATCAACGATCGATGGCTGGTTCGAGAGACACCGAGATAGCAATAGGTGCATGTCAACCCCGTTACACATGGAAAGAGAGTAAGAAACATCCGCGTGGTCAGGTTTGAACCGTCCAGTCCTTGTCACCTCGCTTTAGTATTTATTCTTCCTCTTAATTTCGGAGAAATAATGCTAACCAATCGAATAACATGCAGGTTTATGGGTACAGAATGTCACTGTGGGCTGAACACATGCACATGATGAAGGATTTGTTTGAGGAACCTGAAAGTTTGGAGTGTGTGAAGACTGTGAACAGCATTGCTGAAGAAAACTGGGAAAGGTACTCGGGCAACGAGTTTAAGCATTTACAGGGGCACCTGCTGAAATACCCCATTTCGGTAACTAGAAGTGGTAAAGTAGGTGGTTTGCCCGGACACGAGAACTTTCCGGATGTTGGTGGCAAGGTCCTTGGATGTCGATCGACACTTCCTGATGCTCTAACTACGTAGAATTCCACATTTTTGGTACGAGTACCGAAACCGGCATCGAAGAAGTGGGAGACAAGGGTGGGGCAACTCAACTACTTCGTACAAAATATGGTGCAGACTACGCTAGGCATCCTCGTGTTAACATACCGACTGACCTGTCTCATGGTTATTAAACAGTAAATCTGTACTATTTCGCTTAAATATTAGCAATTCTAACACCTTTAGCTTTAGGCCAAAGTTTTCATTGAGGAAGAGGGCTGCCCCGTTTATACAGCCATCAACAAATTGAGAAAAGAGACAGTAAGCCAACTATCTCTGATCCAATGGCACACACTGTTCCTTTGTCCTTTCTTTTTGGGACAACTTGTTAGCTTCGAGAATATTGAGATTGTTTGTTTCCCAGGAAAATTGAAGTGGGAAAACAATTTAAATCATCTTACAACCAAATGTACACGAATTCAAAGTGAATGAAAGAGATATTAAGATACAAAAGCATCATATTTTTAATGTATACTTCGTGCATAATTATTTCATCTTCCCCGTTGCTGACACTCTATATTCCCAACAAGTGGTTGAGAAAAGTGGCAGTGCTCTTCTTGCGAGATTCCTTAACCATCTTCATCTTCATGACTTCTCCCTCTCCTATATTTCACTCACAAAGAGGCTTTTTTGAGTTCATTAATGCTTTATGGTTTTACATGTGCTGATTTATAATCTAAGATGATACTTCCCATACTGAATTCTACTGATATCATCACTCATCCGGGGGTCGTTTTCTCTGTTCCGAAAGCGGAATACGGAATAGTTGCATAAAATTATCCATAACAGCTAAGGGAAGAGCTTCCAAGTTGCTTAGTTTGTTCAACAGGGTTTTAATTGGGAGTCTCACAAGTATGACTGGTGGAGAAACTTAGAAAAGAAGATTCCTGACATTGCAAAAGCCGGGTTTACATAGGAATGGTTGCCACCAGCAACTAATTCCTTTTCACCACAAGGTTAGAGAACATTTTTTTATTAAAGCAAGAACTAGTATCTTATCATCAAGTATGCACATGTCTGATCAGGATATATGTATATAACCTATTGTCTTATTACAGGGTATCTTCCCTAAAACCTTTGTTCATTATATTCTGCATATGGGTCTGAGCAGCTGCTGAAAGCTTTACTCCAAAAGCTAAAGCAGTACAAAGTTTGAGAAATGGCTGACATAGTAATCAATCATCGTATCGGAACTACTAAAGGACACGGAGGACTGTTGTCTCTATAATTTACTCTGCAAAATATGTGAAAGAAATATTGAAGAAGCAAAGCCTATATTTTCTGTTGGGGATTATCGGGATTCTTGCAATTATAATGGATACGGCTTAGACTATAACCAAGGTAATGCACTTGATCTGTTTTTCATATCTGAGATCTTCCATAGAAGAAATTCGACTTGGTTTTCATCGATAAATCTATCCATGTAATCAGCTGACTGGTTCAATACGAATGTTGTTGGCATCTGGCATGTTTACGTCTTAATTCATTGTATTCACTACCTTTACTGCAGATAGCAATGGACAAAGGATCATTTATTGGATTGATGTCACAGGACAACTTTCAATTGCATTTGACTTCACAACCAAGGGGATTCTTCAGGCATGATCCAAAACTTAATATTACCATTTACCAAAAGAAAGAAACATAATATTGGCCTTTTATTGTGTAGGGGAGGTGTTGTGATTTCCATGTCTGACAGATTCAGGTTTGCTGATGTCTTCTGTTTGTATTCCTGGCCAGCGGTTGTGCTTTGTTTTCTGCTGTGCTCCAGCTCGATTATAGCTGTCGTTGATACTAATTTGTTTTGGGCGGCGCGCGTGCCGTTGAAGAAGAGGGCTTGTATGTCTTGGTAGTTATGTAGCTGTTTGTATTCGGTCCTTAGAGCTCGGTTTTCTCTGGTTGTCAGTGCGGTTTTGTTTGTGCTTCGCTTGCCTTGCTATTTGTATTCTTATCCTCCATCTAAGCTTAAGAAAATTTTTAATGAGCTAGTGTAGATTTAAATCCTATTAATAAAATTGATTGCTGAGCAAAAAAAAAAAAAAAATCCTCTATGCTATTCAAATTACTCATATCTTTTCACTGCCCCAAATTCAACGAGCCAATTCAAAATTAGCTCCATCGACTCGTAACAAAGCAAGATTAAAAACGTGGATAATCCTTCAAATTTAGGGCCTTCATGATCTGCCTTTTATCATGCAACCATGAATGGCTCCACATTAATTTTTTGTAACCCAGCACTCGCTTTCAACTATTCGGACAAAACTAGGATATTACAATTGGTATGATGCACAACTCAACCATTGGATTCCATTTATTAGATTGGTTGTTAGTTGCCAAGACAACATTTCTCCGATGAATGTTTTATAAAATTTCGTTACGCATGCATGCAGATGAACATTCTAAGGAGAAGATATCCACAGCGAGTGTGACGGATCCATAAATACTTTTTAGGGTGGGCACACACATTTAAATTTTTCGTATAAGATAGACACAAGTCAAATTTTAAGGTGAGCACCCATAGTAAAATGAACATCTAATATAAAGAAACTCAATCTGAGGATGCTTTGCATCCGCCTCGTTCATCTGTCAGGATCCTGGAGTCTCAAAACAACCTGTATTCTGCAATGATTGGAGACAAAGTATGCATGAAGATTGGGGATGGTTCATGGTGTCCAAATGGAAGAGAGTGGACACTAGCAACCAGCGGACACAGATATGTAGTGTGGCAAAAGCAATGATTCCTCATCCTTCTTTCCTTTCATTGCTAATCCCCCTTGGTACTGGAGAATGTGGTGCAAGGCATCCCACTGCATGATGGCCACTCCTTACATTTCAAATGTTAAATAAAAAATTGCATTCGAAAGTATTATATGTCTCGGAAATTAGCTACATTTACCATCAATAATATTATAGCGCACCTGTAAATAGTCATACGTGATGTTGACACATGTCTATTCATACAAGCAATTTAGCACTTGTAAGTCTTTTAACCCAATCCATTCTCTTTTGTCCCCCCTCCTTTTTGGCCCTTATATCAGCTTAAAGACCCTAATTAAAAGAGAAATAAACAAATGCCTGGCTATAAGTGGCTTGAAGGAGCTCCATATTTTATGCAGTAGAGAGGCAGAAATTTTAATATAACTGTCAGAGTTTGTGACTCAAATTTTATTTGATCAGCTCAAAAAATTCATACTGTGATTCACTTGATGAAGAAATAAATAAAAAGAAAAATGGGATCAATCTTTGAATAGACGTAGGAATTAGTATCAAATAAGACTCTTTCTAATATGAGTTTTCTTTTTTATCAAGTAATTACTGTAAATCTCTTGTAATTTAGATATTAGAGAATTTACTGTAATTTTGATTTTTTTCCCCTTTTAAGGTTTTCCACATAAAATCTTAATATCTTGTTTTATTGTGTGATCGTTTCTACGTACATTATCTCCCGTTTAGCACATTACTGCATAACAATAACAATCAAGAATACATTAAGATTATGAAATCAGTGGAGGAATTAATTCAGGCTTGAGAAATAGAAGGCAATAAAAATGCTGCTGATTGAGAATGATTATCCTAGTCGACTAGTAAGTGCTTTCTCTTTCTGAATAAGGCTGATCAAAACGAGTAAATTTAACCATTCTGTGAATAATTGCACGAACTGAATATCATAAAAAGAAAATGATATGGATACATACATAGCAATGATTTTTAAATATGTATGAAGAAAAAAGGAATTATTTCAAAGTTATATATAAAATTAAGCCAACACAATTGAAATATGACTGAAAACACAGAAGCAGGTCTAGGCAAGTTTTCAACGCCACAACAGTAGCAAAGAAATGGAAGTAATCATAAATATTCTGGGAAAAGAGAAGGCAATGTTACGGAAGTTAGGTCCCATAGAATGTGAGAAAGTGAGAACTGCATTATGTCAGACAATTTGATGCACAACTTCACCTTGGCCTCCAGAAAGCACCAGCAAATGATAAGGAAACCCTGTATATAATAATATGTGCGTACGTACACATCGTATGTATGTCTATTTCAAGTATTTTGTTTGATCAACCTATAGATATGAGTAGTAGGTAGAGGCAGCTTTAGAATTTGAGAATACAGTCCGAGTCACATGGCAACTGAGCTGGAAAGTGACTCACTTGTATCATCAATCATATAACCATTCACTTGTATCATCAATCATATAACCATTCACTTGAATCATCAATCATATAACCATATAAATATATATATGCATCAAAATCTCTTTTAGTATCTGCAATTTCTTTTATCTATGTTTGTAATCTCAAAAAATCTCTCTTCTCTTTTACCTACCCAATCTCAGTCATCAGCTTGTTTAGATTTAGCCAATGTTTTCCAACTCGAACTCAGCTCCATTTGTGGATAAACCTGCTACCAAGTGTCGGAAGATGAGATTACCACCTTTTGCCTACATATACTGCGTACATTTACATGCATTTGTATATTATATAATGAAAAGATTCTTACTGCTTACCATTATAGACAAAAAAAAGTAAAGCAACATGTTGAACAGAAAAAAAAGAAGAAGAAGAAGAAGAATGATGAAGTGCATGAGGAAATATGATAATTGCGTGGGAATTGAGAGGTGGTCCGCATGCATCAAAAGTGATTTGGAGGGTTTAGCCAATAATCACGGATGCATAGGCTCAAAACATAAGTTATGTGTGGTTGATATTTAGTTTTAGATTAAATCGGTTTAAATGTAGAGTACGAGGATATTCTCATTATTTATGTTATTTTTCATTTGATTGATATTTGACTTTGGATTAAAAGACCTTAAACAAGTAGCGAAGAAAACTAATATTTTCTCATTGAAAGGTCTCTTAAATAGTCACAATAGTAAAAGGGATTGTTATTCTTTTTAGAGTATATATATTATTAATGGCTGAATAAAATTATAAACACACTATCATATAATCATCTTAAAATATTCAAAAAATTCCTCGTGTAAGCTTATAGCACATCGGCGTTATAGACGAGCGATAATAAAAGTATAGCACTTTGAAATGAAAATTGAAGGAAATAATTAGAGGGTTTGGTGTTTGTTTGCAAAGCGGATCCATTGTCCCCACAATCGCACCGTAGCATAAAAGCTAAGCAAAAGTAGGTGACACTTGAAATTGAACACAGCGCAGGGAACAAAAGCGCGTCAGCTTTTGGCATTCAACAAAGGTGTCTGCTGCTTCTATATCTTTGGCATCATATCCGCTTTTCGTTGAAGACTAGTCCATTTTGGATTTATTTCGATAAATCCAATTGTATTAAGAAAAGGTCATTTTTGATGTAATTGATATTTGAATGAGTAAATGCTTGCTTTTCCAAAAACAACAAAAATGCTTTGCATATCGCCTTTACATATGGCGTTTCAATGACGGCTCAACGCTTCATCATATATATATAGCAAATTATA